GATATTACCTTAGTTAGGGATACTCTAGTTTTAACTGTAGTTGATGTCCGATTAGATGTCTGTAGTTGTACTTCTTTGCTTTGCTTTGCTACACTTTTCGATTTCTGTTTGACACCATCAGGTTCTAAAAGAACATTACATTTTTGACCAGTTAATACATAAAGTTAAATGTCAAAGTAAATGTCACAAAAATACTTAAAAATTGTTCATTGCCGTACCATCAATATCCTTCTTCACTTTCGAATCACTATAATCGTCAATAGCAAAATGCACCATGCCATCTGTTCTTATTTCTTCCTCATGAAGCCTATATAAATAACAATCCAACAATGTATTATACAGTTGAGACTAGCATACTGTGTCTTAAACATCATCTAAATACCTTGTAGTAGGTATATTTCTTGACACGTGACAATTGACATATGCATTCATAAGCGCTTGAAGTTGTCAAAAAATCATTCTTTTTTAAATACTGTAAACTATTGAAAAAGAACTATAAATATAAATTGATTTGATATAATAAGTAAAACGGGAGGCAAAATAACTAAAATAAATAAATTACTAAATACAAAAATGAATATTTATCGGCAGGGGAGCAGTTGGCCTATGTCTACTTTCCGGTTTTTCAAGCAGGGTGTTTACTGAGCTTACCAGTCACCACTAGCCGTGCATAGCGGAAAATTAATTACAAATACCCGGGCGCTTAAAATATTTTTTTTGCACTTTCTGAAGGGCACTTATTCAAACCATCTTAATATATTTCCTCCATGTTCAAACGGGGCGCTTATGAAAACAGAGTGGGAATTGAGGGGGCGCTTATGGAAATAGAGGGGTTCTTATGGGAAATGATTAAATTCAAGAGGCACTTTTTGAATGAAAAATGATTATAAAAGGATTACGAATGGTGGTTAGAAAAGATATTCGTCCAAAGAACATAACCGTGGCTTCGCCCCCTGCACCCCAACTGGGGCCCTAGGCGGCCTCCTGGCCGCACCCAAGTGAGACTCGATTCGCTCTAATAGCCTCCCCCCCCCCCCGTCGGGCCTTTAACCCCTCCGTCGGGCAGGTCCTTGAGCCACCACTGAGACAAATATGTAAAAAGTGTAACGTTGGAAATATACTGTCTGTCCAGGGATCGGAGTTTTCATCAGTCCAAAACAAATATCCTCATTTTGATATTGACCTAAGAAAAATGTGTTTCCAATCTGCAGCTCCAATCATGCCAACAACCACAGTCCCAGAATTGATTGGATTACTGACTTGCTAAAAAGAAAATCTTATAAAATTATTTATTCAAATTAGAAGGGGCCGCTTATTCAAACGGGGCGCTTAAGGAAATTTTCACCTTAGGAGGGGCGATTATTCGAGAGGGGTGCTTATTTAAACGGGGCGCTTATTCGCGCGAGTACGGTAATGCATATAACAGGGAGCTAAATACAAGAACATAGCTCAGATGTCATTATTATTAGAAACGCAACGATAAAGACTTACATTTTTGAAAGAATATCCCGCACCGTTTTTTTAAAAATACCACCGACACCTATCAACTGCGCTTGGTATACTCTGATTTGTCCCTTTTCTAAATCTTTGTTGAACACACTCAGAGCTTGTTTACCTCTTGCTAATATCACTCCTGGAACTGCAAAGCCTAATTAAAAAAATTGTTACTACTGTATTATTTCATCGTCACCGTCATTATCATTAGTATATCATTTCAATTAAAAAAGTTTACTATACTACTAAAATGTCAATTTTACATCTTATACCACCCCTTTTACACTGCAAGCAAAATTCCGGACATAACCCGAGATTTTCCAATACCCGGGTTAAATCTCCTGAGTTTTGGTTAGTGTAAACGTCAAAAAGTCCAACTCGGGTTGCCAAACATTCTGGGATGGACGTGCTGGACGCATTCAGGGTAGGAAAACGCGGGTGAATTCTGGAGTCGCGCAGTGTAAACAGCACTGAATTTGATTCCGGCCTAAACTGGCGTCTACCGCAGCAGCTATGATCAGGTAGGCTTAAACTTTGCTAACAACAACGGGCTAGACCTCGACTCTTTTCAAGTTAAACCAAAGAGTATACTCTTTGATTAAACCTTCTACGCTCCGGTATAGACTTGATATAAAAACTGCTGATTTAATTCGCATAAAATTGCTTCAATAATGACAATAATTGTGGCTTCGTGACAACGAGGAACTCGAGCGAAGTGATCACCATCAAACAAAAGTTAAAGGCGGTATTTGAACCCGAGTTCGTTGCCGGTGTATACATGTAAAGTGGGAGTGACTTGGGATCAACCCAGACTTTTTCGTTCGATGTAAGTGCAAATGCACCCGTGATCACCCCGGAATTAACATGGGTTTATTCTGCCCTTGGCAGTGTAAACGGGGTGTAATACACAACAAACAATTTTATATATTATGATAAAAATATTACAAGTCTAAATGTTAAACTAATACTAGAACGAATTTGTTTTCCATATTTCACTAGTGACTACTTTGAAATAATGACTTCTCATGTTTTCATTTTTCGTAGGGTCCGAAATAACTTTTACAGTAATTGCTCTATAAATCATTTATATATTTAGGCTATTTTATATGAAATTATGGTAACATTGACCGGTTGCTCAAAGACCATTACATTAAGTGCGCGTGTGTGCATTAGCTGCGCGTATGATGAGGCAGTTTCTTGTATAGCCTGGGTTCCAGCCCCTAATTTTGGTTTATTTACTTTTTTTGCACTTAATGCGCGCCATACCAAATGTAATTGGCGTCCCATACTCGATTTTTTGTTTTGTTTTCGAATTAGCTTGTTACGACTCAACCGAAGATAAAATATAGCTGAACTTGATTCACTCGTGGGCGGCGCTGTCTATAATAAAGGAAAACTACGAAATCTGTTCGCGATACGATGAATATGAATAACTTAATTGTGGTTGATAAAGTTTATTAAGTCTTATTGTGTAGGGCCAACATCTTGGTCACATTTGTTTAATAAATCAACTTTTTTTTTGTAAAAATTATTATGAATTAGTTCAGGGTTGCCTTCTTTTTTCAGTTCTTTTATTAAAAAAAAAAACACTTTTTTTTTTTCTCATCATAATCATAATATGGCATAATGCCTTTCTAGGCTTGTGTTAACAAGGGCCGTAGAGTGAGATTCGTTAGGTGCGGCGTGTGCGTTCAGTATTTGGCCTGACGCGGTCTGACAGTGTTAAACTGCAGTTTTGAGGTGCTTACACTAAAAAAATTAAAAATAAGTAGGCCCATCAGACACTATATCAAATTCCTGCTCGGGAACAAGAAAATTACGTGGAAATAAAAATGCTGCCGTCACGACTGACTGATTATTATAGTGTTACTTTACCTATTTATTTAATTTGTCATTTTATTGTTTACAATTATTTTACAAGAACCCGTCTGCTGACTATTAATGTCGTATGCTTACTGTGCAAGATTTGCAAAATCTCTTCTTTCTCTTTCTTGGTATTTTCATACTCCTCACACATATTCTGCACATACACGTCGATTGCAGTTAGACCATTCTGTAACAACAATCACATAAAAAAAAAAAAAAAAAAAAAAAAAAAAAAACAACATTAACTTTTGTTAAGTAAATTATAAATTAAACGTATGTTACTTGTAACCTTAAGGTATTTTAATAAGTTTGGTTGACCGTCAAGCAGTAGAAGGGTGTGCCAGCAACCGGGAATTGTATTTTCCCAATAAAAATGTTAAAAAATCAAACTAATGGTCCACGTACTTGGAAAGCGCCTTCCACAGTAGAAACGGTCTGAAGGTGCTTTTAAACCACAAAGAAACTAAAAAATCAATTATTGATCAGACACGAACGCAATTTATTTATTTTATTTAAACAAGTGATATTCTTTCCTGTTCCTATACCTGGTTCTTCAGCATGCTATCTGCTCCAGCGTCTAAGAGGACTTGAAGGCCGTGTAGGTGAATGCGAAAGGGGTGGTTACCATGTAACAACACATGTAGTGGCGTATTATCTCTCTAAAACACAACGTTAGTTTACATTAAATGAAAATTACCATATAACGAACACGAACAAGTTTAATGACCTTTTAAAAATTTGCTATCGTTTTCGAGAACTATTAACCAAGAGAAGTGCTTTGTTATTATTTCAATATTGTTTAATACAGTAAAAGCTTCACAATAATACAACCAAGGTCTATTATGAACAAAAATAAAGATGGACTTTTTCTATTGACAAGATATATTTCTCCTGAAATGGCCTTAAAACTTTTTTTGTAATTGATTTCTTTTAAATTTTCATTATTTTTTTTGTCTTTGTGTTGTTTCCCCCTTCTGCATGTTCCTAATTAAGCCATGACCTGGGTTTTTTGTCACATTCACACAAAACACATTTAATTGTGTTTTTAATGAAGAATGATCTTATTACTTACAACATTACATTCTATGAAATGCATTATGGATACAGTCTGTAGTTAATAAATATTCATAAAACAAAGTTTTTGTTGTGTAAATAAACTACAGCAATACTGATACAGAATGTTATTGTTAGTCTAATTTAGATGAAATTGTAAAGATGGTAATAAAGCGACGGAGCCTAATGTTTTCATACATGGGTGAATATGCTAATTGCTAATTGTCATGTGCAAAATTAGTATTTAAATAATCAGGAAATTTACGCTAGTTACCATGGTAAATTAAGTGTGGTAAAAGTGTGATTAATTTCAAACTTTTTAGTATGCAAAATGGTAATAAAGCGACAGAGCCTATTGTTTTGATACGTGTTTAAATATGCTTATTGCTCATTTGCATATTAATTAAAATTTCGCTAATCAGGAAATTTACGCTAAATAATAGAATTCCTATAAACGATTTCCAATATAGATGAAGTTTAAAGATGATATTAAAGCGATTGAGCTTATTGTTTTGTACATGTTTAAATATGCTAATTGATCATTTGCATTATTAATCATATTTCAATAATCAGGAAATTTACGTAATTTACCAAGTTTGTTAAGTTTAATTGATTTCGAACTTTGCACAATGCAAGGTTGGTAATAAAGCGACGGAGCTTGTTGTTTTTGATACGTGTCTCAATATGCTAATTTGCTCACTTGCTCATGAAATGTACGCTTAACACTATTATAATTCCTATAAAAGATTTCTAATTCAGTTGAAATTGTAATATTTTCTATGTTTTTGTAGTAAATAATTATTGTGGTAAGTTAGGTACGTCTGATTGGCTTCAAACTCCTACTTACCAATGTACTATAATAATTGTGATAAACCTTATACCATACCTCGTTTTGACAAATTGACCAACTTTTGTGATTTTTCCAATGCACGACAAAGTGCGTCTACGTACCCATACGAAACCAAGTAATGTAAAATACTTCTACCAGCCTGCAAAAAAGTAAACAAGATATATAAAAAAGAGATACCTATTCAAACAGAACATACAACAACCTACAATGAGTAATATGTTTTTCTTTATTATATTATAATTATTATTAATTTAAAGTTATTGCTATTATGTTTATCTTTATAATTATTATTGAATTAATATTAATAGGCCTAGTAGAAAATTGTTGTTAGTGTTTTTCGTTGTTAATTTTATTAATTACAATCAGTGTTTTGTTCTTCCAATAACGTTTTTTTTTTTAAATATAATATATGCAACAAGGGACCCTTAGTGAAGAAAGTTATTGATCGAGTTCCTAGTCCACATATCAAGCGCCCTGAGCATCTTATGTTAGATGGATATGGCGCTATATAAAACTACACAATTACTGTTATTATTATTGCACACTTAAACAATTCACTCAATACAGATACAGATAGTTCGGTGTATAATACAGATAATAAATAAAATGGCATATAAACATAATTGCTGTTCCATACAGTATAAATATAATTTTCACGTTTTTCAGTAATTTATTTTCACGTTTTAAAGTATTTTATAGGTTTTCATTTTTTATGTCTTCTTATATTTTAATTTCTGTTGCACGTGTCATACTTTTCACCTTCAATATCGCCAATAACCTTGTATTTAGCTAGTTTACCATTTAAACCTTACTGAAAGCCTATAACCTATGTAATATGAAATCACTGACATAAATAAGGAAAATGTACTTGAAGTACAATTATTAGAGACATGAAATTTTAAAATTTAATTATGTTAAATTTCTGAAAACAAAATTGCCGACAGGAGTTTATAAATATGTACGTGCACAACATGCCGGCATGTATTTATTGTATATATGCAGATGCGAGTGTGTTTTACCAACAGATTTTATGATCTTAGTTTAGCCACCTCAATGGTTTAGCTTAACAATCTTCTTAAGGAAATTTATTGAAACTATAACAGTTAAACTAATAATAATTAATTTCACTTACCACCTCCAAATTTACGTCACCTGTAACTTCTTCTAACATTAGATTTTGGGGTGTTTTGGTCAGTACTAACGTATGTAATGACGCCACACCAAGTTACGAAAACAAACCAAATACAATTGCTGTGATATACCTGACACACCTACATGATTAATTTTCTGATTTGTTGTGCCGAATATGTAATAAATAAATAAATAAATAAAAACGTTGGGTTGTCTGTTAGAGTGCACATGTTGTGTATATTAATCTAATAAGTAAAGTCCTAGTATAGGGTAATATGCTATGCACACTAGGCGGGGATGGCTGCTGGGGTAAATGGCACTATGATACTCACTAATAAAATGTTGTTATCATGGTCCTCCTGCCATTAATAAACCAAAACTTGACTAAATAATAATACTAAATAATATACTAGCAGTTTGGTATTTGAAAATCTAACGTATTCACCTAGCTTAATTAAAAAAAAAGACAATAGGCAAATATAGAAATTGAGTTATTGGGAATAAGGGAAGAGGTTGCAGTTTCCCAAGTAAGATCGGCGGCTCTAGACAAGGAGGTCGAGAGGTTAGAGTTGGGTGATGAAGAGTCTGAGGTCCACAGATTGCCAGTAGAGTCAAAACAGGAGAGGATGATTAGATTTCTGAATGAAGAAGTTCAGGTTGGCAGCAGCACCAATGCCCAGGAAGATGAAGCTGACGAGCACAAAACACAACAGGAGGTCAGCTTGGTTAGAGCAAATGAGGCGGCTCCAAAGATAACATTGCCAAGTGCGCAACCAACTCGTATGGAACGCCAAAAGGACAAAATACAATTGGCAGCAGTGCAAAACTGAGAGTCAGCAGCGCAAAACTGAGAGTCACCAGTGCAAAACTGAGAGTCACCAGTGCAAAACTCTGTGTTTTGCACTGTGACTCTCAGTTTTGCACTGTGACTCTGTGTTTTGCACTACTCAGTTTTGCACTGTGACTGTGTTTTGCACTGCTGACTCTGTGTTTTGCACTGCTGACTCTCAGTTTTGCACTGCTGACTCTCAGTTTTGCGCTGTTGACTCTCAGTTTTGCCCTGCTGACTCTCAGTTTTGCACTGCCGACTCTCAGTTTTGCGCTGTTGACTCTCAGTTTTGCACTGCTGACTCTCAGTTTTGCGCTGCCGCCAATTGTATTTTGTCCTTTTGGCGTTCCATACACTCGAGCTTGAATGCACAGGTTGCTGGAATTCTGCCAACTTTACCAAAGCAGTCACCGCCTTCACAAAATGAAATGATGAATACTTTTGTGAAACAACAAATCGAGATGGCTAAGGCGATTGTAACGAGTCAACAAAAGGCAACATTGCCACGCCGGAAAATAACACCCTACAATGGTGATGCAACTGAGTACAATGCCTTCATAAATGTAAATAAATGGTTTAGCTTAACAATCTTCTTAAGGAAATTTATTGAAAGTTAAACTAATAATAATTAATTTCACTTACCACCTCCAAATTTACGTCATCTGTAACTTCTTGATTTGCGAATTCTAAAATTTCTAACATTAGATGTTTGGGTGCTTTTCCAGTACTAACGTATTTAATGACGCCACACCAAGCTACGAAAACAAACCAAATACAATTGCTGTGATATACCTAACACACCACACATGATTAAACAATAAATACATAATAGACATTAACTAACAATTTCAATAATTTTAAATTACTAATGTATTATCATGATATTTTAAGGATTGTTAGAATGTATGACGAAACATTCCGTTGCATTAGCTAGGACTGGGTTATGGCCATTTTCTGATTTGTTGTCCCGAATATGTAATAAATAAATAAATAAATAAAAACGTTGGGTTGTCTGTTAGAGTACACATGTTGTGCATATTAATCTATTAAGTAAAGTCCTAGTATAGATTAGTAGGCTATGCACACTAGGCGGGGATGGCTGCTGGGGTAAATGGCACTATGATACTCACTAATAAAATGTTGTTATTATGGTCCTCCTGCCATTAATAAACCAAAACGTGACTAAATAATAATACTAAATAATATACTAGCAGTTTGTTATTTGAAAATATAACGTATTCACCTAGCTTAATTCAAAAAAGACAATAGGTTGCATAGCATATTGTACCCTGTGTCCCTGTGTATTCAAACACATGTTAATTTAATAAGGCCAAATCTTTTTATATGTACAGTATTTTACAATATCTGTCAACTTGTATAGGTGCACATTCATTGTTATTCATATTGCATTATATACTGTATTTTTAATTTTGTTCCTGTTTATTGCATTTATAATTATTCATGGAGGAATAAACACATGTTTTATTTAATTTGCATGCTGTCATTATTTTATAGCAAAATGCTAGGTTTTTATAGTTTTAATCTTTACTAAAATGGCTAGTCTGTTTCTGAGATACACATAGTAAATTTTAAACAGTGTTTTTTATTTTGACCTTTGACTACATTACTGTTTTAAATTGTTGATATCTTAACGTATTTCTCGTCATTGCCACTTTGATTTGTCGTTTGATTTTTAATGTAATTTTATCCTTTTTAACCAAGACTGTTGCAAGGAAAAAACAAATTCCTATTTAAAAATGGACAATAAAGAATCTAGAATCTTCTTTTAGGT